AAACACACCCAAACAGTATCACATTGTAACGTCAACACACCACAACAGTATCACACTGCAACGTCAACACACCCCAACAGTATCACACTGTAACGTCAACACACCCCAACAGTATCACACTGTAACGTCAACGCTCAACGACAGAATACAACAACCCATCAACATACAACGACAATATAGCGTCAATTTCTACCACAAAACGTTGTGTTATTCCACTTTCAGATCATTGTATAAACATGCAGACTGTTGAATAATAATGAGTTATACACCACTCGTGAGGATGAACCTTGACCGGACGACTTTTTTTTTAATGGGCTTTACCGCGTGGTGTTTTGTTTACGTCGTCTGCTGTCAACATCCGGCAAATGTTGGTGACTTTTGTGAGGTTATGCAATTGGAAAAGTGGGTTATTAAGGCAATACCAAAAGAAGATGATACTTAAAGATTTGCTCACTAGTTTCAGACAAAATTGCTACAGACGCTCGATATCGTTTCGACGCCATACCTTCGCGTGTCCAGGTCGTGAAACCCAGAGACGTAATATATATGTCTCTGTGAAACCCAAACAAGATCTGTAACAGTGTCGGAAAATATTAACTCATGCCTATTGTTTTGGACATTGGCAGCGATTAGTTCGTCTTCATCACTTGGCGGGAGGCAGACTTCGTTCGATGTGCTTACGCGCATATAGTCCGTGGTTAATTTATATTAATTAATGCAGTATTGCATACTCACAATATTTTAAGTCGTTCATCTATTTTTATTTTTTTCACGAAGTTGTTGTCGAAACATTAATTTTGAAAATTATTAAATTTATAACAAAAAAGTATTTTTTTGAATATTAATGAGCGACTTTTTACATATGGGTCATACTGTATCACTAAGCCTGCCTTGTCAACAAAATGTGTGTATGCTATTCAAATATGGAAATACTCTAGCTGTTTCCGAATGAGATTGTGGCAGAAACAGATCACACGACTCGTGGTTGTTGAGTATGGTATTTATTGCACTCTCGTTAGTTAATGTTCAAAAGTTAAAGAAAGACACTCGCTAAAGCTCGTGTCTTTTGTAACTTTTCAACTCGAGTGAAATAAATAACATATTCAACAACCACTCGTTGTGTAACCTCTATACATAACACCCCGTCAACCTACAACGACAATATACAACTGCCCGTCAACATACAACGACAATATACAACACCCCGTCAACATACAACGAAAATATACAACACCCCGTCAACGTCAATATACAACTGCCCGTCAATATACAACAACAATATACAACACCCCGTCAACATACAACGACAATATAAAACAACCCGTCAACATTCAACGACATTATGCAACACCCCGTCAACATACCACGACATTATACAACACCCAGTCAAGATACGACGACAATATACAACACAAGTGTCTATGTAAACAGTATCACATTGTAACGTCAACACACCCCAACAGTATCACACTGTAACGTCAACACACCCCAACCAGTATCACACTGTAACGTCAACACACCCTAACAGTATCACATTGTAACGTCAACACACAACAGTATCACACTGTAACGTCAAACACTGTAACGTAAACACACGCAAACAGTATCACATTGTAACGTCAACACACAACAGTATCACACTGTAACGTAAACACACGCAAACAGTATCACATTGTAACGTCAACACACCCCAACCAGTATCACACTGTAACGTCAACACACCCTAACAGTATCACATTGTAACGTCAACACACAACAGTATCACACTGTAACGTAAACACACCCCAACAGTATCACACTGTAACGTCAACACACCCAAACAGTATCACATTGTAACGTCAACACACAACAGTATCACACTGTAACGTAAACACACCCCAATAGTATCACACTGTAACGTAAACACACCCAAACAGTATCACATTGTAACGTCAACACACAACAGTATCACACTGTAACGTAAACACACCCCAATAGTATCACACTGTAACGTAAACACACGCAAACAGTATCACATTGTAACGTCAACACACCCCAACCAGTATCACACTGTAACGTCAACACACCACAACAGTAATACATTGTAACGTCAACACACCCCAACAGTATCACACTGTAACGTCAACGCTCAACGACAGAATACAACAACCCATCAACATACAACGACAATATACAACCCCCCGTCAACATACGACGACATTATACAACACCCCGTCGACGTCAATATACAACTGCCTGTCAATATACAACAACAATATACAAAACCCCGTCAACATACAACGACATTATACAACACCCCGTCAACATACAGCGACAACAATACAACACCCCGTCAACATACAGCGACAACAATACAACACCCGTCAATATACAGTGACAACAATACAACACCCCGTCAATACATCACAGTATACAACACCCCGTCAATACATCACAGTATACAACACCCCGTCAATACATCACAGTATACAACACCCCGTCAATACATCACAGTATACAACACCCCGTCAATACATCACAGTATACAACACCCCGTCAATACATCACAGTATACAACACCCCGTCAATACATCACAGTATACAACACCCCGTCAATACATCACAGTATACAACACCCCGTCAATACATCACAGTGCTTACAAGGTAGGAGTGACGACATGAACAACGCAGAAATCAAAACAAAACAATAAGAGAGAAATATGTTGACATAGGCAACCTTAAGACCTCTTGTTCTTCCCTGTCTTGAATGTAAACGAATCTCGCGATGAATGGCAGAACGCCATAAAGACAAGTTACTCATGCTATATCTGGTTTCGTAAATTTATTGTAATAAATACATTCCAATATCATTGTAAGCAATATTGATACAGTTGGTTGTGATGAATATTAAAACTGTCTTTGGTTTGACATCTCGTTCATCATCCCGCGGTTTTGAAGGCATACGAGCAGTTTTTCTATTCAGCGTTTCTTATTCATCTCACGAGCCTTTTTATCGCGGTACTTGTGTGATTGATGACTCCCGGTAGCTATTGTCCCGAACAGATCTCATTCGGAATTTCTTGCCAAATCTACTTTGTCGATGCTTTAGTATTTTGAACCATTTCATGGATCCCAGGCACATTACGAAACTCCAGACCGGTGATTTCCTGCCATACCGCCACTCTTTATAACAACAAATTAATACTGCACGTGTCGTTGTATCCATTTACCCTCAAATGTGTCAAAACATGGTAACTTAGGTCCAATATTTGGAGATAAAACGAATTGATATCAAGAATAACATGGCAATTGTTTTTAGATAAAAAAAAATCGGAAGTGACATTTAAGCCCTCCAACCAATGAAAGTTGAAGATTTTCTGTGTTCGAAATGACAGCGTTGTTATATTCACCAAAACACCACGAGAACGGCGTGGGGACACAACGATTATCAGCCACACACAGCGACAGATAGGGCGTGATTTAGCTAGCGACAGGACAGAACCACATTTTATTTTTCCGATTTTTGTATTAATTATATACATAGTAGAACATACTGGTAAGTGAATAAACCCGTCAACCATTTAAAAGTCAGTGGTATTCTGACTTATATATGTAGGCTTACTTTTGGGATTAAATTTCAATATCAATTAACTATTTAACTGAAAACATATCTCGCTTTTGATTTCTTCTTTGGCAGGAAGGAAGATTCATGTAAACTATTTATATATTTTTTAAAGTTTAAGACATTTTAAGAAGATCAAAGGAGATATTTTGACTGAATTGGAATGTAGTCTGACTGTGATGTCTCGGCAAATGATTACACAGAGGAGGAACACGTTAACACGCTAAGATCTATACGTGTATAACAGTCTGCCGGGGTCATCATGATAAGTACTTCTATACAAGTTTGTCGGCAAATGGTATAGCTAGAACAGTCTGCATTATGATATATTTGGCGCCCCGAATGTGCAGATTTGAGTAGAATAGTTATTACCAGTTTCAGAAGCGCTTGCTATGTTTGATCTACATTTGCTGGAGTCGTAACTAATTTACAGGTATCAGGTTATAACCTCTATTTAACTGTTTCATGTATAACATTGTATGGGACTAAACTGTTAAACTATTTTGTGTTTTTAATGGGGTTTTTTTTAATTTTCTTGTTCGAGATTTGCCGCATTATTTAACAATTTCCCAGTTTGCATTTATGACGCAAAATGTACTGTGTTTTCCTTGATTTTCAGGTATGAGGTATTATGTATTTAAAATGTAATTTTCCTTGATTTTTAGGTATGAGGTTGGTCGTATCTATATTAGTAGCGTGTGGCATTACTCTGGTTTTATCCAACCCGCTCGGAAATTTGGATGGTAAAAACACAAAATCCAGGTAAGTTTGTCTATACATAGCATGTGTACAGGTGTACTTACCAGTGATATTAACGATAGGGTCAGAGGATCTACGCAGTATCATTTCTGATGTTAATTATAGGATCTACCCAGTATCATTTCTGATGTTAATTATAGGATCTACTCAGTATCATTTCTGATGTTAATTATAGGATTTATTGAGTATCATTTCTGTGCTTAATTATAAGATCTACTCCGTATCATTTCTGATGTTAATTATAGGATCTACTCAGTATCATTTCTGATGTTAATTAGAGGATCTACTCAGTATCATTTCTGATGTTAATTATAGGATCTAATCAGTATCATTT